GTTGAGTAGCAAATGGACTCAAATAAGCAAGAAGTGCACCAAGTTCAATTCCGTCTACAACAAACTTTCCTCGCACAAGCAAAGTGGTGCGACCGATTTTGACGTTTATAGAGCGGCGAGGGAGCAATATCATGTCGAGGCCGGTCACGTTTTTTAGCACGAAAAAATTTGGGAGATTGTCAAGGAAGACTCAAAGTGGAATAAAACGGACACATTTACGGAACAAAAATCGAAGAGGTTGCGCGGCTCGGGTTCAGTCGTCAGACGCACGCACGAACATCGACCTCAATGCGGACACGGATGAGATACCGGATGACTTGAACGACCTTGAAGAGATCTCCCCGCCTCGACGATCGATAGGCCGCGACAAAGCGAGGCGTGCTCAACGACACGCGGATGAAGCCGAAAGTAGACGTCGAGAGCAAGCCGAAATGAAACAAAAATTTGACGAGCACAACGAAATCGCGCGTAAAAGATATGAATTGCAACGGGATCATTTTGAGTTCCTGCGTCGTTCAGCCGAGGAAGATCGCATTGCGAAAGATTTGGCAATTCTTCAAACTAGCGAGGAGAATTTTCCACCGAGACGGTTGGAGACACTCCGAAAAATGAAGGCGAAGATTGAGCAGAAATATTTAGACGAAGATTAGTGTTTTTTTTCGTTGTAATGTTTTTTTTTGTCGATGTTTTTTTTTCGGTCTATGTTTTTTTTTTGTTGTAATGTCGTTTTATGTTTTTTTCGTTATAATGCACTTTTTAATTAGTATTTATTTTAATTATGTGTTATTTAATTTATATTTTTTTTAATAATTATTATGACATAAATTAAAAAAATAAAACAAAATAGAAAAATGGAAGTTACAAACATCAAAAAAAAAATAGAAAATGGTAGGTGTTATTACATGTTATTTGGTGTTGCCCATTTCCACATTGGGTGTTATAACACCAAAAGTGTGAGTAAGATGATGAGGTGAACACTTTGGGTGTGATAACATGTAATAACATGTTGCCCACACCCAGCAGCCTTATACCTTTTCAACTAGGCCCCACCAACAATTCACCCTTCATATATGCAGATGTTTTCGGTTTTCCATCTGTTTTTTTTTTCATGTGGTTTCACAATTAAAATGAAGGAAGTTGCTTAAGATGTACATTTTTACTACATAAAATCTTGTAAATTAATTTGTTACAATAAGCTAAATTGAACTAATTGAACTAATATATTATTTATTTGTACAAACAATTGGCTGATACCAATTAATTTAACATGCCCATTCTGCAGGGGTACATATTGGGTTTTTAATTTTATAGCGACCACCAACATTTTCTTCAACTATAATAATTCATAAATAAAATAATAAAGGGTAAACTTCATAATTAGGGTAAATTTTTATGATAATTTACGTATATCTATCTAAAATCCTATTTTTCATATTAGACCAAATTGATTTCCAAAGTTATTTCATTTATGAATTATCTAAAATCCTTTTCTTTCGTATTAACACAAATATCTTTAATATGATAATAAATGAAATAATAAAGGGTTGAGTTTGTTAATTTTGTTGAATGGTTATGACCTGTTAATTTAGGCCCTGTTTGTTTACCTCTTAATTGAAAATTTAAGAGGTAACCTCTTAAAAATTCAGATATAACTTGTTTGATAGCCTCTTAATCTTTTAAAAGTCTCTTAATATTTCAGATACGGAGGGGAGTCTGAAAAGAAATAAGGGACGTTTCTTCCTTTTTTACCCATAAATCTGCTCCTTTTACTCTTTCTCACGATTGCCCTCCCTCCCCTCTCCAACAAAACGCCGACATCATCTTCTTGCTCCTTTGCCCTAATATGCTACCATTCTATTCCTGTGAGACCCTCGGTGAAACATCTTGTGCGAGACCCACCTCCGATATCCACCCTCCGCCATCACCAACGACGGCTCTGCAAAAATTCTCCCTTCAACTGCTGGTCGGACCTGCAACCCTCCACCATCATCGGCGCCTCCGCCTCCGCCAGCCCCGCCGCCAACGACGCCGTCCATTTCCGTGAAATCTCATCAAGATTTCCCCTAAAAATCATGAAAAGTTAGTTCTTGCCCTGAATTAGGTTCCAACGGCTCCTTCTAAATCGGTTTCACATACGACTCCTTCCATTTTACAGCGTAATAATCTCTCAAATTTTGATCTCTATCATTGTTTGTTTGATCATATCGTGAAATTGGCTCTCAGATTTGTTTATTATAACTGTTGTTGTGATCGTTATTGGTGGTGTGATTTATGAAATTTGAAATTTTATGATGCACAGGAAACATGAACCTGCTACTTTGCAGTTATCTCAATTACAATTTGTATGACCAAGCAGAGAAGCTAAGATCAAAGGCACCACCATGTTTTGAAGCTCATTCAAATCAGCAGCTGTTGGGGTTAAGTTTTTACTGTTTATTGAATCATTAGTTCATTAGTTTTGAAGCTCAATTACAATTTTTATGTTTCCATGATTGAAAGAATATGATATTTATGTTTCTATGGATTGAAAGAAGAGAATTTGGAAGAATTTAGGTTTAATTTGGTTGTATAATGTTATTGTTTCCATGGATTGAAAGAAGTGAATTTGGAAGAATTTAGGTTTAATTTGGTTGTATGATATTGTTTCCATGGATTGAAAGAAGTGAATTTGCAAGAGTTTATGTTTAATTTGGTTGTATGATATTTATGTTTCTGTGGATTGAAAGGAGTGAATTTGAAAGAATTTATGTTTAATTTGGTTATTTATGATCATTTGTAACTTTTATCAATTATGCATTTATAATTTAGCACAACACAATACTATAGAAGGGTAAAATGGTCATTTTTATCATTTAGATTACAATTCAGAGGTTCCAACCAAACAGGATGTTAAAAATTCAGACCTCTTGAAAACTCAAATATTAAAAGTTTAGATCCTGCCAAATAGCACCTTAAACCAATTAAATCAAAAAAATTAACTAGTCACAAACTATATGACTTTTAGTATATTACTTCAAGTAGATTTTAATGATCATTTGGTGTACAAAATATGATAAAAATGGTTAATTTTGTTAGTTGGTTATCAATTGGTTATTTTTAAATGGGAAGTGATTCGTACACAATAGTTTTTTGTCATACACAACAATTTATGCATTATAGAGTTGTACAGTACAACATTTTAAAACACCAGTTGTTGTGTATAGAGAAAAATTGTTGTGTACAAATCATCACACTAACTTTTTAAATAGTTAAAGATTAACCAGTTACAAATTTGGTGTTTAGTACAAACTTCAAGTCAGTTTTATGGTCATTTGGTTTGGAAACTATGATCAAAATTATTATCATCTTTATTGGTATCCAAACCAACAAAAATGGACAACTGTTAGACTTTAAATTAGGGTTTCATTAAACATTCCTTATAAATATTTTTTTTAAATGACAAATCTAATATACTTTTAAACTAACTTCTTATTCTACTTATGTTTCAGATAAGACTTGAACCCTCAATCTCAAATAGGAAGGATAATACATGATACCACTCAATTAGAAAATCTTGTAATATATGTTATAAATATTATTCCAAATATGTGGACATTTTAGTTATCTTTTAACCATTTGATCATCAATCTCAAATCCAAAATAATTATCTTAATTAATTAGTCAACTATTATTTATCTCTTTTAAATAAGTAACTTTTCATTTATTTATTATGATTGGCAAATAATAAATTCATTGTATATAAATATATGATTTATTTCATGTATTTGATTTCTCTTTATGTGTGATAACATTTGTTTATGCATAATTAATTGTCTAACAAATTATTTGTTTCTTGCATACAAGATTCAACATGAGAATAGTGTATTTGTCATGTGATAGAATAGTATTGGACATGATACCGAAACGAGAACGTGACCCTAAGAGGAGTTTCCGTGCTTCCTAGGTTGGACATGATACCGAACATGAAGATCACAAACTCACTAGGAGTGGCATTGGTCACCGATAGATTGAGGTTAGGTTGATTGTAATAGTTCAGACCTGTCATAAGTAGGTAATTGCACGCTACGGTCAAAAGGGTGGATATAGTCTATATCTATAGTGCAAAGAGAAGAGGAGATACAAGAAGAAACTAAGTAAATAATATAATGTTAGACTTGAAGAAATTGATTGTTACGGATAATACGACCTTGGATAGGAGTACGGAAGAGGCTTAGATCAATGTGATATATTAGTATATGCACTGATTTTAGCTTCTATTGTTATTATATGATTCGTGCTTTATTTCGGTTACACGTTTTTACTGCTTCTACATTCGTAAATCGTAAATGTCCATGCGCTTTTCCTTGCTTGTATTTACTTTTATCTTTATTACTTATATATCTGTTTTTTTAGTTACATACCATTGTTTTTTCTTCATTATATTTATATAGCCGACGTTTCATAAACATAATATCTTCTAAAAATATTATTGTTTTTGTATGCATATTCTAAAATGACAAGATTTTATAAAACAATGGGTCCCTTTCTTCGTCCTGCTTGATTTAACCACTCACTTGTCAACCACGAGGCCCTCTCTAAAGACACACCGCAAACCATACCTTTCAAACTAAACATTAACCAAATTTTAAAATCCAATAAAAAGAAAAACTTAAAGAAATCTTATTCATTAAATATCTATATCAAATCAAACAATACGTTTCATAAACGATCAATAAACCGATATTAATACATATTTTTTTTAGATTCTAATTTTTAAAATTTATTATTATAAAATATAAACATCCACCGATATTAAAGAAAAGGAGATGAAATATTATACGTAACAATTAATTCCCAATAAATATATGAGTTATAAATGGGACCCTCAAGAACTCTAAACATCCACCTCACGCCCACCATCGTTTTCGTATTTTCAAATTGCACCTTCTCCTTTTTCAGTTACAGTATATATATCTCGCCATTGATTCCGAATCCTCCTGCAAACAATTAACAAATCAGCCATGAAGAAGATCAATGTGATTCTAAGGAAGTGTAAGACGTTATCGAAACAAATAGGGAGAAGTTCGTCGTTCAGCAGTTTGGGATCTAACTCTAAGTCTGCTAGTGCTAGACATCATCACGACAGAGCCGCCGGAGAAGGAATAGTCTGGAATACGAATGCTATCTCCGTCTACGGCTACGGTGGCGACGGCGACAGCAATGTCAGCGGTGGCGAAGAAGAGCCTAATGAAATAGTATTCGTCGGAAGCTCGAGGAAACGGTACGTAATTAGTTCTAAGTATTTGAGTCATCCACTTGTTAATGCTCTCATCGAGAAATCGAAGCCAGTTAGTGATGACGACGATGATGTATCGGTGATCAATTGTGAAGTTGTACTTTTTGATCATCTGTTATGGATGCTTGAGAACGCCGATTTTAATGTCACTTCGGATTGTTTGGATGAGTTAGCTGATCTATACTCGTCTTGAAGAACTTTTGCAACGAGATCTATAAATTTAGGTTACCAAAATCGGATGAATTAGTGCATCAATCTCAAAAATGGGGATGATTTCATGCATTAGTTTGATACTTTGATTCATCGGTTTTTGAGTTTATTATAAATTCTCGTTATATGTATATGTACTACTATGTAGATTAGCATTATTTGTTCAAAAATATCATTAATGACTTTATTAAATAATTTTTATGAGTTTTGATTCATATTTAATTCCCAAAATTATTCATTTACCTTTTTTTAAACTAATTTGAAATATATAGGAATTTTTTTGAGCATTTTTTATTTATACTGTCGTTGTATTAAATAATAAAATAATGTCGATATTTAAACGAACTATTATCTAATTATTTCAATTTCAATGTTAAAAACTATATCCAAATACCATCGAGTGTGACATATTTCATTCTGATTGTCTGATTTTTAATTATTTAGTTTCATCATAATTGTTTTTAAGACAAAAGCATCAAATATTCTTCCAAGAAATATTCTTCGGAATGATCATATGCTATTTATCTTATTCTAGATCACACTTGAATGAAAACCTAAGTTGAATTATATACAAACCAGTCATAAGTCAAGCTCGAGTTTTACACATAAAACTTGTAACAAGTCAAGCTTTAGCTCTAGCTCTCGTCATTTAAACAAACCAATCCCAACGGTGCCAAGCTTAGAGTTAGCTCGAATCGTTTACAGCACAAAAAATGACCGAAAGTTGAAGCAAACATGGGAGTTTCAAGTGACAACCGACTTTGGCAGGTACCGTGGGTGACATTACACATGAGTGGTGGCAAAATTACAATTGACATGATGTGGGACACATCTTATTTTCAAAAAGATAAATTAAATATCTTCATACCTTTTGTTCCTGGGTATAAGAGTTTTTCACCCATCTTATTAAGATGTACATCGTTCCACGGTATCAAAAGTTATTATCGTTTGAAGTTTGACTTATTTTCATTTTTGCTTCTTTACCTTCTCAATTATCCATGAATGGCTATCTTATGTCCTTGATAAGTTACTATGCTCTATTGTCACATTTTGTCTGGGATTAAACAAATAACTATATTTATACAAAAAATCCAAAACTTAAAATGATAGGTTCACTACATATTATATTTAACTCACGGATTAACAACTTGCACAACTACGAAATTGATGTATGTTATTCGATCATATTATATGCATACAAAATCTCAACAATCGTTTTATTGAAGTAAACAAACATTACTTGTTTATATGGTTTCCATATGTCCGGGTATTTAAAACGGAGGAACTACTTAAAATGACTAAATCTTATCATAGCGAGTTCTCTGAACATAAACATACATCATTTAGAGCAAATCATCAAAATTATACTGTGGATTTACGTGGAGATACAATGTTTAATAACTTGAAGGAATTGTAAACTTGACAAGAATATGATGGTCGAAACAAATAAGCGTACAATATATCAAATGATACACCATCTACAAAGATACAAGGTTTAATAACTTGAAGGGAATTGAAAACTTGACAAGAATATGATGCTCGAAAACAAACAAGCGTACAATATATCAAATGATACACCATCTACTGAAATTAACACCTGTTTTACTCATTACAACATCTTTATTTAAACAATTTGTGTTATAAGATGAGCAATTAATTTATGCATTAATGTTTAGTGTCGTACATTGAAAAAAATGTGTTTGATAATATTAGCACATGATGCATTTATAATCTGCTTTTAAAAATATGAAAACTCAAGAACAATAACAATAACTAATATATATTTTATAATTGACAAAGCGATCTGACGTCCAAACATTTTCGACCAATTATGCATCAAATTTGATGCATATAAGTTTGAATATTAGATTTGTCACTACATACGAGTGATAATAGATCCAATGAAGAAATGATAAGATGTATAACCCCGTGACTGTGATATATTCTATGATCCTAGACGGTTAAACGGGTCCTTACTCCTTAGTTTGAAACTAGTATTGTAATATTTAACTTTTTTCACATTAATAAGGGAAATTTAGTAATCTAACAATTTTTTAGTGATTTTATAAAGAAATAACCACCAAAAATTTATTTTTGAAAAATGATCACTCGGTTTGGAATGCCCATTCTGGACCGGTTTTCCAAAATGGGTAAACGGGTATAGTGATCCAACCCAGTAATATGGTCCCCCTATTATAAATACAGTTACCCAAAATACCTGCAGATCAAACCTTGGTCAAAATCTAGGTCAAAGTCAAATGGGTCAACTCGGTGAGTACGTTGGGCGTACTCAACACGTACGCGCGACGTACTGCCTGCTTGACCAAACATCGAAGGGGATGACCACGTACGCACGACGTACTCTTTGGTACACCTAGCGTATGCAGCTTCCACCAACTCAACCCATTATTTGCTTAATCCTTAAGCACTTTTGTCTAAAAATCCAGATCTAGACCCTAAAAGGTGTTCTTAACCACAAAGTTTCCAACTTTATGGTTTTGCATGGCTATTAAGACCTTAACATCAAAACCCTAGCTTCTTGTCCCATTAAGACAACCTAGATCATGCATGGAAATAAACTAATGTCCAAGATCACATTTTTATGACTTAACACACCCTAACACATCTGAATGGACAACTCAAATGTCTTGGAGTATTCGATACTCCCAAGGATCAAGATTTGGGACAAAAAGGTGCCATCTTTAAGCTAAAACTAGATCTAAATGAAATACACATCAAGGTTGGAGCTTTATACCTCCAGAAGGTGCACAAGGGAGTGTAGATGCTGGATCCAAGGCCTTGAGTGAAACACCACAACGTCTAGGTTCTTCCTTCACCACCAAGAGTACCAAAATGGCACCAAAAAGACTCTCCAAGCTTAAAAATGCACTCACACACTTTAGGTTTTTCGAAATGAGGTCAATGAGGAATGGAGGCTGGAGTTAAGAAAGGGTATGGGGCTATAATGATGCTTAAATATGGTCCAAACCCTAAAATTTAGGGTTTGCACCCTGGCCACGTACGCCCAATGTACGCAAGCCATGCCCAAAAATTACGAAATTTCCATTAGGGACCAACTTTGAAAAAAATTACCTGGAAATAAAGATGTTATAGTTTTGAAAAACGTGTCGCTTCTGGTGACGTGGCTCCACCCAACTGCTGACACGTGGCATGTATTAGTTGGGCCTGTGTGGTTGGCTTCTGGAACACTATGTGCGCCATGCACGTACCGATTTTCAGATTTTCAAAATTGTGTAACCTCTTCATGTATGTTCTTTATATCCACACATAGATATCGACGAGATCTATAACTTTCATTTAGACTCCGTCGGCTAATTTTGACTTTATTTTTTTTCACACAGGCTTAGACTGTTAAAGCCCGTATAAAATGCATAACTTTCTCAGCCAATGTCTATTTTCGACTATCTTTATATCGTCCGATTCCTAGTAATGAGATCTTCAATTCTCGTTTAGATTGTATCGGCTAACAATCGACCGATCAAAATTTTGATATCAGTGTTGCACACTGTTGCGCTGAATCTTTATTAAAATCAAAACTTCCTCAAATGAAGTCAGATTTAGACGTTCTCCATATGCACACTTTCGGTTTTACGATTAATACGAATTTCGTTTAGATTACTTAGGCTAATAAGCAACCTATCTAAAATTCACTTTTTACGACATCCGAAGTCGAATCAGATTTAAAGCGAAACTTCAATGTAGCATAACTTCTTCGTTCTAAGTCGGATTTGAGCATTCATTATATCTCTGGAATCCTCATTGCGACTACTTCATCTTTCATTAAGGTTATTTGTCCTAATTATTATTCTATTTTGACACGTGTTTTAATCTTATTTATTATATTATTAAATACATATATAAAACACTTAAGCACGTAAATACATGAATAATCATTTCTTATTCATTCATACAAATATTACAATAGTTGACCAAAGTGATTACAACATATGACTATTTCTAGCAGGAAACGTGGGCGTTACAATTATTCCCAAATAGAGCTCCATTATACACATTATGTGGCCTAGTAACGTGCTCCTTACGACAAACCAACAAAAGTTCTATTAACTGTATTTAGCATGCGTTTTTATAACTATTGTATAACAACTTAAACTTAATTAAAAAAAATGAAAACTTCTTCCATTGCCATTCTTTGCACATAAGTCACTTTTTTTACACCCAATATCAACAATAAAGGTGACATATGGACTAGAAACGCGCTCCATATGACAAATCAACAATTCATCTTAAATTATATAGGATATAGATGATATCTTTATGATTGTAGTTATTATATATAATTTGGAGGGAGTTTGAGATTTCATCTTAAAACAACTTATTGATTTATTGTTTTTTTGAAAAGTCATTAAGTCAAAAAAAGTGTTTGACAAAGAGAAACAAAACTTTTAAAACAACTTCTCCTTACGTCTTCAAAAAAGAGATTTTAGAAGTTAAAATTTGTAACTTTTCTAAACTCCTTATGACTTTTCGAGTTGTTAAAGTCAATATCACCTTAAAATACCCTTAAGCTAAGATAATTTTTTTTAAACAACTTATTGATTTTTTTCCAACACAAAAACTAATCCAAACACTTTTTTAAAAACTCATTTTCATATCACCATAAGTCAATAAATCATTTTATCTAAAAGTCATTTTGAAGATCAAAATGAAATCTCAAACACCCTCTTAAGAGGACTTTGTTGATTTGTCATACGAAGCGTGTTTCTAGACCACATACTACCTTCATTGTTGAATATTTAGGTTGATAGCTTATTTTATTTCCTTATTTTATATTAGTTTATTTTAGATTTTAGCTCTTTTTATTAGTATTGCATTGTATATTCTATATTTTCTTCATCATGGATCGTATCGGGGACTTTCTATGTTGCATGAAATATTTTGCAGGGTTTTGGAGCTTGTTGCGGTTATGGATTAGCTTGGAAATGGGCTTTGTGGGCTTCCGAG